CTAGTGCGCGTGCGTGTGCGCGCCACTCGATAGCAATACTAGGCTTAGTGCGAGCTCGCCGCCTCGCTAGTTGTAGCGTAGACATATAGCTGCGACTTCGCCGGGCCCGCCCGCTGAATCTCATTTTGTGATCTTATACTTAATTCTCCTGTGTTATAATTTAGGTTAAATTTTATATCATCGACGCTGTGAGGATCGAATACGTGACGTGTTGCGATCGTATAGAATATACCTGTTATATATTGAAGGATAACTATTGAATCTTTATAGAGATACCTTGCCATTAAAAGAGGAAGTAATTAATTATATAGACTAGACTGAGATGTAAAAATATCACTATTTTATGCTTTGTTGGCGTATGATGAGATTGTCGCTGTTGTTGACGGATGTGAAATGGATCGCGTGATACCGATCGAAGGTGTACCTTAGGAGGTTCCTGGCGTAGGCCTCGAAAGTGTTATATATTTGAAGTTGTTAATCGCATACTCGTGCGCCAAGAGAGGCGGGGAGTAAGCGGATAGGCGGAGCTCCGTGCGAGCGACGCACACACGACTCGTTAGAGTCTCACAAATCAAGAGCACAGTTGCTTTCTTAATTTTAATAATAAGTAGTCATACCGACCGACAAAGATTACGCGTTTTCTCACGATTTCCTATTTAGAAGTGGATCAGTAGCGCTTCGGGTCGTTTTCTTTATGTAAATATTGTAATTTTTGAGAATTCGCCAGTAGGGTTTGTTTTATAGAAGTGAGGGGCGGGCGTTCGTCGGAGCGGTCCAGTCAATTAACACGTAACCCGCGGCGCACGGCGGACGTTCCGTCCTCGTGCACCACTACACTTCGTACCTTGTTTTTATTGTAGTCGAAGTAATAATTTATTATCGATAGAGATCATTTTGTAGGAATAAGTAGGCCGAACCGTTAACAAATTCGGACGAATTACGTTATGTGATAGGCATTAAGGGCCGCGAGCAAGCCGCCACTTCTCGCCCGCCGCCGGCTCCGGGCCGTCCGCCACTTAGACATAGGCAAAAGTAGCCCCACTGCTCCAATAAGCATGGCATTCGAGCTTCTCTTTGCTTCATTCCAATCTTTACCTCTTAGTTTATTCTCAGTATCTCTAGTGAACATTTATTCCGACAACACACGACTTAGAGGACGTATTCGCTTGTCTTATGGCCGACACAGCGATGGGAGCCTAGGAGAGCCTGAGAGCGCCGAGACATATCGTAGATGGCGGCGGCAGCGAGCCGGCGGCGGATTTGCTTCGGCGACATTCATCGTTGACTAATTCTTATAGTGTCATGACAATTTGTAAAGAAATTTTGCAAATGTTGACTTTTTAGCCAAAATATAGTTAATTGAGACGACGAACCAATATGCAGTAGCTTAATAGTAGTTAAACGCAGCCTAGTTATCAGTTTGTCGATTAACACCAATAGATACTTTATACTTATAAGATATTTATACGATCGATCTTAGCAGAGTGACTATTATGTCAATTTATCTACAAACAAAGACAAATATAAATTGCAATTAATCCCCAGAAGCATTTATTTACCGTTGTTTTATCTAACATTGCCGCTTTTATAAATAATATAAATTTTATAGAAGAGATCTATTTTTATTGTGAAGTTGAACCGCTGGAAAGTAAACCTATATAGAAACGTGTGTTTTTTTATTCACAAATTTTAAAAAACATTGATATTATTCTGATTTCTGGTATCTATTTTCACCAAAGTGCTCATCGCTGTCAAGAAATTAGAGAAAATGCATTAAAGAATGATGAAAATCGTTTGGTTGTTTTATATTATCCCTGTTTATAGAATTATTTATAATCCCGTTTATAGAACGTTAGACATCAATTCAATAAAACATATTTATTTTGATGTGGTTATTTTTCCTTAAACACCCTATTAGTTTTAATCATGGATGTATTACTAGAACAGGATAGAGCTCTTGTCGAAAATTGAAGCCGAGCGAGACCTCAATACCTGTACCATTTTTCCCTCTCTGGCTATGGTGACCATATTGAAATATGATTTTACGACAATGATTACAAAAAAATATTCGTGACCTGACGTCAGCAGATCATTGCTTCACCTCCGTGAAGTTACCCCTCACTTTCTTTTTATTAGTACTTTTTTTATGCAAATAGTTGAGAGTCGTTAAAGGGTTGGAGTTCCTACTTTCTTCGTAAAAGCAATTTAAATTTTTAGGGTGAAGTTGGCCCCGCACTTCATTTTTTTTTTGCCTTTTTTATACAAATCGCTAGGGATTCGTTTGAGAGATAAGGAGGAAAGAAATATCGTTTGAGAGTTCTTACTTTATCTGTAAAAAATATTTGAAATTTTGGAATCGATAATCAAGATAAGATTGATTAATGATTCTCTCAATCATTCTCAGGATTTCTATGATTGGATATTCATGCATGGTCACCGCAATTCTTCACTAACAAATTATGTTTAAAACTATTACCTATAAAAAGATAAAACACAATCAGGATAATACTCGCCTCCACAAGCCTCTACGACACAAGTTTTCACCATTTCAACAAGGCAATTTTAAAAATACCAAGGCAATTTTAAAAATGTCGCCATTGAAGTCCGCTTTGACAATGTCATGCATTGTTGTCAGTTCAGGTGTTCGAAATTCAAACCAATAAGAGTAAACATGTACACCAATCGCATGTGTTAATAAAGATTTACATGTAACAACAAATAAAATTGCTTAAACATGTCAGTAATAATTTATTATTAATATCTAGAAACATTTTAAAAGCGAAAATTTTTACTGCATTACCTCAAAGAGTATCACTGTTATAGTGTGTCTAAATAAGATATAGTGCCACAAGGATATTGTAGCACCTATTTGACATTGACAGGATGGCGCCTCTAAGCATTTAGGGTTACCAGTAAGGTAATATGTCAGAAATTCTTTTCTTTTAAACGCAAATTGCACAGGAAGTGCTTGCACCTTACAATGTAACTAGGAAATGCCCCAGACTTCGTTTGTCGGTTAGAAGGCTCTATAGTTAAAGAATCTTTGTAGCAAACTTTTAGCAGTGCTACTTTTAAACGCTTTTAACACTTTATTTCATGGAATAACATTAAAAAGCCACGCAAAACGCCAAGTGAACTGACAAGCTATGTCACTGTTACCCTGACATTAAATGTCACTTCTCATCGCCAGGTGCCAAAATAATCATGTACATCTATACTCGTTTAGCTGTCAGCTGTCATTCTAAACTTATGCTGTCACTTGACTGTCACTGTCATTCATATATTGAAGGAAAGAGTTGTACGGGTTTATTATTTGTGTAATAAATATAAATAGTGCAAATATGTATTAAATTTCATATAAAATCAGATTTACATACTAAAGATACATGGATGATGCATTTGTAAAAGTGATTACTTAATTTTTAAGAAGATCTCTTGTTAAATCACAAAATGTCGACTAGACGTGCTAGGATAAAAGCTGTAACATCTTTGCCACCAAGAAGAAAAAATGCTGAATCTGCAGATGTTAAAAACAAGCAGGTTCAAGTTAAAGAAGACATTGAAAAAAAACTCAAAAGCCCACGAACACCACGACCTTTAGTAGAAAAAAATGAAGTGGCTGACAGCGTCGGCCCTTCAAACACTTCAGATGAATTTACCAACGCAACAAAGTCTCGGAATGTAATTAAAACTCCGAACAAAAATGACAAAGCTAACGCACCAACAACTGGAAGCTCTCCAATTAATCCAACCGAGAAAATTAAGTCATCACCAAAAACCACAGAAAAAGTGTCTGGTAACGCTACTTCTGTTATCAAATCGAACAAAGGTATATTTGCATCACCACAATCACGACGAGATAGTCCATTTAGGAAAGCTATTGCATCTCTTTTGACCACATCCCCAAAAAACACCACAAAAAGTGCAGATGTAAACCAAGCAAAAAGTGTATCACCGCAAATAAATAAACATACACCCAAACAACAAATAATAAATGACAACAATGAACTGCATATAACAAACAAAAATATACATAAAGTTACACATAATACAGTTAGCCCTGTTGGAAGCAGCACTACCGAAGGTAAATATGTAATCACATACTTTTAATTTATATAACATTTTTGGAATAAGTTTACATTCAAAATGTACAATAAAAAGTACATTTAAGTACGTCATTTTCAATACGTATCCTGAGAATGTGTTTTGAAAAAAAATTAAACAATTTCTTTTTCACATGATTTCAGATTTCAATGTGCCAAGTGTTCCAGAGAGTGTCACAGATGAGACAGTGATGGATGGTATAGTGCCGTTACAGCAAGCTGGCAGTGCACCCAAGCCTATAGATGTTCTAAAAAGCGAAATTATATCAGAAAATGTTGAAGTTCTCTTTGATCCAATAGTACCATTACCTTCACCAAGTAAAGTGAGGCCAAAGTTGCGCCCAGCTCCAAGACTGGGGCCTCAAAGAAGAAATAGTATACAGGTATTATTTTATTTAGATTAAATGAATTTTAAATTGTCATGTGTATTATTATAGACAAACTTATCTGACTTGAATATAAATTAAACTAAAATTACATTAGCCCACAATCAGCCTTCCATCAACATCTTTAAATGGTCATTTCTATCTCTTACACTAACCTCTATAAATGGATAGGCTGTAAGTCATGGTATTAAGTCAGAATGTAGCAAAAGCTATTTATACAAGTAAAAAATTATACATGTAGCTGTCTTGTTTTGCCTTGTGTCATTTCATCTTTATGGTTTTACATATTTTTTTACACAACAAACATTTCTTCACACACCAGACCAATTTATTTTTAGTTTAGATGTAATCAGATTGTACTCAACTTCCTTCCTTATATGCATACTATATTGTTAAAGGGCAGTGCCAGTGAGTCGGAGGATGAGACTCGACGCGCGCAACTGTCTACTGGGAGAGCTACTCCATCTTTGGGTAGACAACGTCATGATTCACACACATCTAGCTCAATAATAAATCGGTTAGTATATTTGTACCCCGCTTGAAAATTTACCAAAATTATTAACACATTCCGTGCGTTATGTGAAGCATTTTCCAGGACATGTGGAAGCTAGTTGTAATTTTCTAATCCCTGGTGGAGGAGTTGATAATCTACTTTTCCATACACGATCAAAAGAGATAACTATATACGTGACATGCTTGCTTCATAGGTTTATCATTGAAGTATGGAACATGTTAATTTCTCTCACAAAATGTTTTCTGCCGTACAAATAAATTTGATATGTCTTAACACTAAGTAATTACATTGTACTTTAACACAAGTATTATTATCGTTTTATTACAGAGAGGTACATCGTGTGCGGAATGATTCTGTTTGCTCAAGTGCGAGTCAATTGACTGCCCCTAGTGGTCTTGCTTCACCGTTCAAGGAGAAACAGAGCAAGTAAGTACAGCTGTTTTAAACAACTTCCATAGGTGAAAATATATTTAGCTTTAAAGTATGGTAAAAAAGTGTATTAATAAATGTAAGTCACACTACGGCCGTAATACTATATTTCTTCGTTGTGAAATTATCAAGGCATACGGTCACTCGCTGATTCTTTTTACTGTCTTTTCGGTTGCAAAAGGGTCGTGAAATAACTTTTATCGCCCCATATTTGGTTTACCGCATCCTACGGCAGCCTAGGCTTTAAGTTCCATCACTGATGGTAGTTGTCTTGTCAGATTACGTCGCCAGGAGGCGGCCAACCGGCGCGCGGCCGCGATGCGCCGCAAGCGCGAGAAGGCCGCCGCTAAGAGAGAGTCACTCACCATGTATGACCTCATATTCTACAACCCCACCACTAATCCTATCATGTGAGTGCATGTTACTTTTTAGATTTAATTTTTAGTCTTTACTTAATACATGTTATGTAAGATGTCAGCAATCACAGTATATTTTTAAATAATATTTATTCTAATAAAAAACCCTGCACTTATGCCACGCTATAGGCTTAATATTTTCATGCTATTACTTTAAAGGGGTGAATGAATTGAAAAAATGTGCATGCGTGAAATACAAAACAATGTGGATGAAGCAACAGTGTTAGTCATAAATTCTGATGATTTTTTTTTTAGTCCAGATCAAGATGAAATAAAGGCGAAAGAGGATAATGCTAAAGACGCTAAAGAGTCTGCAGCAAAAGCTGAGGAAAAAAGTAAACAAAAAATCAAGTCACCTGAAGCAGAGGCCGCGCCCGCGCCCGCGCCGCAGATCAAACTCGGAGCGAATGGAGAGATAGTTCTCGATGAACAGAGTTTGGTAAGTCGACAAGAGGCAATACAAATGCAGTTTCACACATGTAGGAATAAATAATATGTTATATTTTTTTAATGTATGTTACATTGTGAAAATATAACTGTTAATAGGATTTGGGCGTAGCTTGGAACATAGATCATTGATAGTAACTTTTTTTTTTTGTTGTTCTACGGATACGAATTCGCGGACGACAGATGCACCGGGTTTTCGTCCTCCGAATAACTCTATCATCTGTCATTGTAGTCATCACTCCCGTCTTGATCATGTCACCTTTCACGCAATCCATCCATCTCTTTCTAGCTAATAAGATCATCACAAACTTACAGTGGTTTAAGCACAAGTTAAGTGCTTAAACCACTAAGCTTCCGACGCACACGCAAATTTCGTTAGCGCGGATTGTGGAGACAGACAAACAAAAATTTTAAATGCGATTTTTATTTTCAGAAACACAAGTACATTGTCTTCCTGAAATCCAGAATTTTTCTTTTTGATATTACAGACCCTCCAATTTTATTATATTTATAGATATCTTACTATTATTAGCGAAAGTATAGATGGATGGATGTTTGTTAAAGTTAGTAGCCTAATCAGCTGAACGCATATCAATTAAATTTGGCATAGACGTAGAAGATAGTCTGGAAGAAAACATAGGTTACTCACTTTTTTTTTAATTCCACGCAGACAGAGTCGCGGACGATAGTTAGTAGATATAGAACACTATTAAGCTACGAGGTATGTCGTAGGTGATAAAGCCT